TTTCCCAAAACCTTGAAAACATTGAAGAATTCACTGGTCGTAATTTACCGTTTAAAAATTCCGGTGGAGTTTCTTTTCTGTTTTTTTCTTATGGTAGCAACTACAGTTATGATAAAAGTTTATTAACAAGAGTAGACCAATTATCAAATTAATTACTATTTAACTGGGAATAAGCCACAATTAAAGGTTAAAAGACGTTTATTGACGTTTCAATTTCCACTTCGGAAATCGTTCTCAAAATACAAACAGTTAGTAGTTGGGATCAAACCACCACATTTGAAGAAGAAGAGAACGGACTGACGATGTGGGAGCCTCTTTCTATTTGAAGACACGCTCACATATGTTCCACCTAAGAAAAAACTGAACAATATGATAAAATTTTTGTTTTTTGAGGCAGCAAAATCATTAAGGGCTAATTTTGTAGTTTTCAAATCACTTAATCTTTATATACTAAGATTAAGAAGGCCTGTATTCACAATCTGTTTAATGTATGGTAACAACAGGTTTCGAGAAAGCTACAATTTATATCTTGAACGATCGTCATTATACATTGAGCATATTGCAATTAATATACATCTGAAAAACTTTGAGATCTTCCGCGGCATTCTAAAAATTTCATAGACTGAACATGTTAGAAATAAAGAAGTTGTAAGACATATGAATATAGATTAGTATATATACACATATATACATATAGCAGATATGTACATATATGAACTTCATTCAACTAATAACGGAAAGAAAAATAGAAGGAAAGCACGGTCCTGGGAGACGATAAAAATGACCTTGCTGCGTAACATCAAGGATTGGACAGGAATATAACTCCAACTCCTAATAAGAAAAGTACAGGATAGGGAGAAATTTGCAGAAATTATCGCCAACCTCCATTAGAGACGGCACCTAAAGAAGAAGGTGCTGGAATTCGCAAGAATTCTTAGATAAAATTCAAGAAAAAATTCTCGAATGTTACTTAAATTTGAATGTCTCGTCCAGTAAGGTTTTAGAGTCCAAATGATAATCTTAAAAGATGTATTGATTATTTAAGTTACTTAAATTTCTTCTAACAACTCGCTTACAAAAAGAACCTCAGCTTTGTCAACTTAAGCTCAGTGCTGTGACACTCTGTGTTTAGTAAATCCTATCGTCGTCAAATAAAAAATCATATTGCAAAAATTATGACTAAAAACTATATTGGGATACAGAAATCACTTACGAGGGATTTAACATGAATAAGAAAGTTTTTTAGATCAATTCTACCGTCCTGATAGTTTAGAAATTGCCAAATACTTAATGTTAGAATCATGGACGTATAAATAACGTCCATGGTTAGAATCCATTCGGAAAATTTAATTTCATGGTTTTTGAGATGCAAGTACACGATCTTTCGGTGCTTGCGTATGCATTCATGCATTATACAAAGGCGATTTAACACATTATGGTCATGTTTCCGCTAAGTCGAAAGTAGATCCTTTTAAATTAATAACTAAAAAACTAGAGGTTAGAACTTTGTACTACTTTCTATATTTCTGGTAGAAAACCGCTTCTTTAAGCTTTAAGTTTTGAGTTCCGAAAAAATTGTTCTTAAATTGTATTAGTAAATTGGTCCATTATATACAAAATGAAAAAAGTTCTATGACTGCGAGGAAAAGCTATCCAAAGGGATCATTTTGAATTATTTTATTAAACCATTTTGGAGGAAGAGAAAAGATTTAAAAAAATTATTTATGTATAATTTATATTTAAAAAACAGGAAACATATATGGATATTGATAAATTAAAACTAATTTAGAAGCGTTACATACAGAAAATCAAATTGTTAATAATTTACAACGGCGAATGTATGAAATAGATATTTGTCCGTTTTTGACTACATAAGTTTTGAATTAGAAGAGCTAGCAGTAGAGTATTAAATGTAGAACACATGGAGGAAACCAAAATGGGACTCTTGTCAAATTATTTTTCGTAAACCATGATAATTTTAAATGCCAAAAAGTGGGCTTGTAATATTCCGTTCTGGCTAGTTACAAATTAGAATTTTTCGATTTTACTACTCCAACAGATAATGAAAATTTTTTTAAACAAATATTTCTATCAGTTGATAAACATGTTTTATTTAACGTTTTGTCAATCCTTCCCTTTAGAATGAACCTATCATAAAAAATACCACATCTAACGTAACGTAACTTAAAATTACAATTTATATACAGTATTGTGCGAATTAATGGAATCACTGTGAATTTTTTTTCATTTTTTTAATATTCACAGTTGGCAACACTACCTACACAGTTGACAGCTGACCAAGCATTGAAAACATAACCTTACTGTGTGTTGGTGTGTTTGAGTGTGTTTTAGGTCATTTCTTACCAAGCTTGTGTTGTTTTGGGGGTTTTTGTACTATTTTGTGTTGTTTTTGGTTTTATTCCAATATGGATATTACGCCTACGAAGCGTGAAAAGATTGTCACGTTGAGTGAACACACTAGTATGTCACAAAGAGAGATTGCTAGAACGTGTGGAGTGAGTCAGGGGGTAGTAAGCAAAATTTTGAAGCGTAAACGAGAAACGGGATCAGTGGATGTGAAAAGGTTAGGAAAATGTGGAAGAAAGAGAAAAACAACACCAGCAGATGATAGATTTTTACTTCGAAAGAGCAAATTGGACCCAAAAAAATCAAGCCAAGACCTACAACAAGATTTAGCAGCATCAGCTATAGTGATTCATGACTTAACTGTTCGTAGAAGACTTTTGAAGAATGATAGAAGGGCAATTCGTCCACAGAAAAAAACAGCTTCTAACTGAACGAATGCAGAAACAAAGGCTACTGTGGGCCAAAAAATACTCTAATTGGACTGTAGGCGACTGGAAAAAAGTCCTATTTACAGGTGAAACCCACTTTATAGTTCAGGGACAGCGGTCGAAATTCGTCAGGAAGTCTGACAGTGAAAAGCTTACACCATCTCATATTGATCAAACCGTAAAACATCCAGTCAAGAAAATGTTTTGGGGATGTTTTTCGTACATGGGGGTTGGCCAATTGAAGGCATGAACAGACAAAAATACAAATCCATGTTGGAAAAGTATTTGGACAAACAACTTCAAAAATGTCAACCCCAAGGAGGAGCGATTCTTCAACAGGACTCTGCTCCCTGTCACAAATCAAAGGAAATGATGGCATTTTTCAAAAATAAGAAGATTAATGTTTTAGATTGGCCCGGTAATCCGCCCGACCTCAAGCCCAATGAAAATTTATGGGCCATTTGCAAAGCTAGACTGCGAAAAATCGACTGTACCACTAAAACACAAATGATAGAAGCGACTATTGAGGTTTAGTATCGAGATGAAAGGATATCTGACAACTATCAGAAACTCATAGAATCTATGCCAAAACGGGTAAAAGCAGTAATTGCTGCCAAAGGGGGACATATTTCCTACTGAATGATGTAAGTTTACCTTTATAGTTTTGTCAAAATATAATTTTTTACTAAATAAACTGTTTTTTCATTAAAACAGCCTATGATTCCATTAATTCGCACAATACTGTATGTTATGATTTTATGATTGTAACTTAAAATTTGTATTTGTATGTCGTGTTGCAGCGAATACTTATACGACGCCTATGCTGACCGTGGGGACAGCGTTCCCTTGAACAGGTAAGTGTGTGTCTTGCACGGTAGCTATGGTGTTTCTGTCTTAACATGTAGCGTAACATTAATTAATGTCTGTATCTTGTGTAAGGTAAACCGTTGGTGGCGTTGAAGCACTAATTTGGCTTGTCTGAAATCTTCCACATCCCATTTAAACTTATCCTCTATTGTTCTGTTCTATACCAAATTTGAAAGACACATAAGACATATCCAATCTTACCGTAGAAAATAATTAGATTTGAAGATGAGTGCGAAAACTAAAAGTTATAAAATGTGTGACAGAAAGATAAACGATAGGCTGACTTTGCCTCACAAATGATGCTGTTGAAGATATTCAAAGTGATAATATCTTCCAAACAAAGCTATGTATGATTTCGTTAGAAATACTAATCCGTAATATCTGAATAAATCCAATCTACAGAAAATTTTAAAGATACTTCAGTACTAGACATTTCAGTACAAGAAACCTTTTAGTCAAAGAAAAGGACCACACAAAGAAGTAAACATAATACAAAGGATATTGTGACAATGTTCAAGCAGAATTAATATTTTGTAATGTTTATTCTAGTGACATACTCAACTCATTAAGGGTTTTGCAATCCTTCTATTGATCAGTAATCTATGAAAATGTTAAAAATTCCAAAGTAAAGACCCAAAATTATATCAGTTATCAATTAGTTAAAAAATGTCGTTTGACGCTATAAAGCAAATAAGACATACATTGTTGAAGAGTAATTTCTAAAAAACAAAAAAAATATGGCATCACTCTTACCAAAAACTTCAATTTTTATTGTACTGTGCTTGTGTAAATGTCTTAAAAATTGTATTTTTCTATTTTTTGATTAGAATATGTGTGTTTTAATAACGCTTGATCTGATTTTATTTTGTTTATAATTGTTTCTCAAATTGATTCAGGTAATGGTGAATTTGTTAACCCAACTTTAGAATCAGTTGAGTATACAACATGAAATCTCAAAGCATTTCAGTAGAATGCAGAACAAAGATCAAGTAGAAAAATATACAGAATTTTATAGCTTAGGATTAAATAAGCAAGATGATAAAGAGATAGGTAAAACATTTTAAAGAGCGTTTCATAAAAAGATATAATGGAATTGTGAAACATTTAAAACAAGTGGCTGGTAGTATTGAACAAGTTAGTTATTACGCCAGAAAAAGAAAACGATGGAGAAAAGACACTAACAGGGTCGATCTGAAGTAAAATTATAATAAACATTCATAAAATTAGTAATATATATGATTTTATGATCTCCATGCAGATTTTTCAATGCATTCTAAATTCGTCATTGTGCAAAATTGCCGTGACTGTATTATGATCTATATTTTGGAAACGTTTTAGTCGAGGAAGTAAGCGTGGAAAGAAGAAGAAGAAAGGAAAGCGGCCCGAGGATCGTCATCAGATGGGAGAAGTGGTTACTAGGGAATATGCTGCCGGATCTCAACCCCCTGATAATAGATATGCTGATATGGCTCCCAAGTAAGTACAGTATTTTACATAATTTCAAAAATACTCGGTTCCTTCAATAGAGTCGTCCGAACTTTGACAGTTGGTAGCGGCCACATTGTTGAAGGTATAATTATCAAATTGGATGTCATATATTCAGTCTTTTTGCCAAATCATATAATATGAATGAATAAAGCGAATAAATTGTTTTAACAAAATGGGTATTCGCCTATATTAGAAATTATATCATTATTATAAACCGTCACTGGCAATCACAATTATTGTTGGTAACAGTCGGAAGGACGATGAGATGAACGATACTATTTTTGTTGGAACGTATTTTGTTTAGTGCGCAGGAGCGTAACCGTTACGTGACGGTTTTTCATTGTGTTGGAACAAACATAATAGCATCGAGAGGCCTTTCAAAGCAATAAAAATTTCGATGATATCTCACACACTTTGTTTTATTTAAATTTAAAGATAGAAAGTGATAATTAAAGATCCTATAATAATACAAGAATAGAAAGAATTATGGGTTAATTATAACAATTTGTAGCGTAGATGCTTAATAAACATTTAGCACACAAATTAAATTCAAGGCCAGAATCGCTCAATGTCGGAGAGAAATTGCGGGGTACGGTCAAATGTATAGAAACTACGTAGTATCTCAAAAATCCAAACACAATCAGATAATCTGAAATTATAATTTATTATTGGACGCCACCCCCTGTTTATCCTCGTAGGGGACGAGAGAGAATAAGAAATAAGATATATAGAAAGTTTACAGCGAAATTACGCTTTATTATTTCTCAGTAATAAAAAGAAACATTAAAAGTTATGTTATTCCCCAAGGATACTAAAATACCATTTCATAAGTACATTACTATAAACAAAACAACTTTATATCGTATTAAATCAAGAATTGGTTATTAAAAACAAATGAATTTATATATTATTTCCAAATTTCGAAATTCGTTTACATTTAAAATATTATAGTAGTTATTTATCAACTAGGCATAATAGAAAAGTTAAATCTTTAAACAAAATTAAAACACTGCTATATTTTCTTTCTCTGAGTCCATAATTGTTTCTCGCTTTCTCGATAGGATATAATAAAAAAAGAATGGTACAACCTTAATCATCCAATAGCTGGCAACCATACAAAAAGGATATGCTCTATTTCCTCTCACCCTCCAAGCATTTCATTAAATTATTTATTAAGGGTCCATTTAGATCATAATGAAATATTGGGCTGCGTTTATGACTTCTCAGTTAACTTCGAGCCAATTAAACATAATCAATGATCTTTATCCTCCCCGGTAAAGGTCTAAAAATAATTATTTATCTGAAAATAGACAAAAAAGGCCGTTTTTCTTTGGCTTACCTCTATATAGAGACCCACTTCACAAAACACGTCCTAACAGTTGGATGTTTGTAAGCGAAAAGAGACAGACGCTATAATTTACCGGTTTGAATTGGGGCGTGATTGACAAGTTAATAATCGTTCTCATCTATCGTTTAGGTTTAGAATTACAGTAGAAACCTTGAGTCGGCTACAAGTACCCGGCAGATAGATTGGGTTAGCAGTTTTATTTAAAAAAAAAATAGTCGAATTTATAATGAATTTCCTTAAACTTTTGAAACGGTTACAAATTTACTATATTTTTTTCCTTTTATGGCTTGGGCTGTTGCTCATATAGCCAGTCGCATATCGTCCCTCGTATGGTAAAGTGTAACGAATATATTTTGCCTACCACATGGGGTAATAATACAAAGGGTAGAAAATTGGGGGGAGAAACTATTGGGGGTGGAGATAAGGCAAGCAAAATAATCGCTACTGATGCGAACGGCACTCAGGGTTTCGTAGGAGAGCTGGGTCGTGGATAAGTAAAAGATAAGAGGGGTGGAATGGGGCAACTACAAAGAAATGAAATAAAAGGGTCTTGGGATAAACAAAATAAAAATAAACAAGAAACACCTCAAGGAATTTAATATAGGGCGCCACTTGAGGTGCCTAATTATGCCTATTACAACCACTAGTTGTAACTAGGGAAATAATTATAAAACAAAATCAAAACATAAAAAACATATCTTTTTCAAATAAGAATCAAAAAAGGTTTGGCTCAAAAAAATAATAAATAAAATGTTAAGACAACAAAATTTAACATTTATTTATGTGTCACCACAAACAGTTACATGGAGAAATACAAAATTCAAAAACTTACATGTGTCATCCATTAACAAACTCCATTGCTACAAAACTTACACAATTGCATGGAGGTTAACCTTTTTAAACAAAAAAAAACAAAACAAATCAACATCAAAATTACTAAAACGAGCTGTCGTAAATTAACATTAAATTTCAAAAAAAACTAAACACAAATTGACAGCTTTACTCAAAACCTAAAATTTACAATTTTAAATGTCAACGAAAGCAATTATTATTTTATAAAAAAATGTCTGTCTTTAGTTTAAAATTTGAACAAAATGTTACCTTAATTCACATGATCACACTTAAGTTTCTGAAACCATAACTGGAACCTGGAACTGAGGGCTCCACTCTCTCTGGATCACGAAAACCTCCATCTCCAAACTGCTAAAAGCCTTGGATAGAAACAGGAACAAAAAAAAAACGAGGATGTCCTTCAATCCTCACTCAAAACATTAATAATTGAAGCATTTACTGCTACAAAACCAATAACAAACTGCTACATATTCTTCATAATAAAAGATGAAAACAGAACACTTTACAAACTCGACGTGAATTTGGACATAACGTTGAACCGCCTTTGAAAGCTGCTCCAACGAGAGTCAAGAAATTCTATTAAAATTGAACGCATACATGCAAACGCTGACATAACAAGACACCACGAAACGACGTACATATCCTTTTGCGACGCATTAAAATTGCGGCTTTTAATAAAACAAGAATTTGCCGAGGAAGTTAAAATAAATAAACAACTCTAACATGGTTTATTTCAACTTGGCCGACCTAAGAAAGAAATGAAAAGATATTTGGGTTTAAATACGTACGAAATATTTTTAGATCTATCAAAAATATATAAGGTAATTTTAATATTTCGTATACGAGGGGACTTCAATATACTTCAAAAGAATCAATGAAATTGAAAATGCTACAAAAGTAACGAATCTGCAAAATTAAAATTTTACAGGAGAGCAAAAAAACATTTCAAGTTAATGTGAAAAATAGGGATTTTAACCTAAATAAACGACATTTTTGTATTCGATTATATAAATGTGTCTTTATATAATTAACTTAATCTAAATTGCAATATCCTGTATCAAAGCAAAAATAACGCAGATTCGTTAGTTATCTATTGAAAAATTATCCCTTAGCCCAATATACTTAGGCTAATGTTAAATATTGAATATACTTTAGTATTTATAATAAGCACCATTACCTACAATTAATATTAATAAATTAAGCTTATAAGCGAAAAAATTGTTTATTGACAGCTACTAGGAAACAATACGAAATAAAAAAATATGAAAATAACAAAACCATGACCAAACACAAACCCAAAAATTACAACAAAAAGCAATATTATTATCTTGTGTCATCGTATTCAGATTCTTCTGAAATATCTGATTCAGGCAAAGTATCCCTTATAAGATTTTGGGTAGGAAGGCTTTTATAAAATCCTTGGTCTGCACGTGGAATCTGTAGATCTTCGCATAACTTTTTGAAGTCTCTGTATTTGGCAATAATAATGAGGAGTTGAATAGTAAAGGTAATGGATTTTGACAAGAACTGTGACCTTGTAAATATAAGGTAAACTTGTGTACTAAATCGGCATGAGTCATAGCTCTTGTTAAAATCCATTACCTCTATAAGGCATAGCTGGTTTGAACTTTGATGGACGACCTCGTTGTAATTTAAGCAGACATTTGACAAAGCATGTTGTTTCTTCATAATTTGTTTGAACGAATACAGCATTTAGATCTGGTTTTCTCTACATAGACCAAACTGCTGTTCTAAATGGTAGACTTGTATTACTGTTATCTTCACCACGAAAACTACATTTATCTGGACAAAAATCCATAAATTCTTGATGCACTAAATGGTTAACTTCAAATGGGTGAGGTTTATTGCTAGCTGTTCTTATAACTTCCGGTTCAAAAAATCGATGGTCAATTTTTTTTATATTTAGATGATCTTTAAGGATATGCATACACGTGACTATAATCCTAAAATTTTTCTTTTGGCCTCCACAACTGTCAGACATCATTCGCACATACTCGACCGTAGGTCGTTACGTTATATACTTAAAAATGCATGATGAAATTTCAACACTTCCACGTCGTCCTTACGTTTACATATTTGCATGTTTCGCCATATTTAGCACGTTCTTCATTGGCAATCAATACTTTATGAAATTTAAGTTTATATTCTCTGAAAATCTTTCGATATTTTTCAATGGAAACTACTGTACGTTGAGTTTCCAAATACTTTTCCTTATACAAACTGTACATAATTGTAGAAAATATATTTCCATCTTCTTCTTCTTCTTAGTCGTTAACCTGATGCAGGTATCGTGATATCATGAAGCTGTTAGGTAATTTTTCCAATGTTCCTCCACGTTTTTCTATCTTCTGCCAATCTAGCACATTCTGACAATGGAGCGCCAATGGTAGCAACAATATGGTCCGTGTATCGTGTAGGAGATCTACCTCTACTTCTTTTGCCTTCTACTTTTCCCTGGATGGTAAGTTTTTCAAGACCATTTCTTCGAAGCACATGTCCAAAATAGCTTATTATCTGTTCTGTTATTTGTGTTCTTAGTCTTTTCTTTATGTTTATATTTCCATAATATACACCAATTTTAGTACCTTTTTTATGATGGTATGGATATGATAAAATTCAGTTCTATTTTCAACTTTTATACACCTAAGGATCTTTTATAGATTATTTTGCAAACAAACCAAAACGTCACGTTTTAGTTATTTAACCGATACCTATTAAATTGAATTTTATTAAAACTTTTAAAACAATAAAGTAATTACGAATAAAAAAATAAAGTAATTACCAAAACAGTAGTTAATAGCCAATACCATCCGGTAAACAATAAACAAGTCCAAGATTGCGTTCTTACACCTCGATAAAACGAATTAAACTACTAAAGTGATTAATTCCCAAATTAGAATTAGATTGATTTACGCATGGGTGTGGTTTTGTTTACATTTTTTACAGTCCATCCAATAATACAAAAATATTAATTATTATAGTTTATTCGTCTTCCGGGTTTGGACCGTGTCCAAATTTGAATCCCTGTCCTGGCATTTGGTTTTCACTTCTGGCTGCGTTAAGTAGTTGAGTTACTGTGACCAAATGCCCATCTTGGTAGTTAGTATTCGCCTCTGGTTGCGTTGAGTAACTGAGTTACCGTTGCTAACTACCCATCTTCCTGTCTTTTGATTTCTTTTTCTTTGTTCTCCTGAAGAAGCTACATACAATTGTAGCGAAACGTCGAGATGAACCCACTTTTGGGTCACTCACAAATGACACGGTCCAAACCCGGAAGACGAATAAACTATAATTCTGACTCTGGCCGTGGAAGCCTACGATTTCAATATTAATTATCTTTATAGTAAACTCGCGAATGTGCAATATTCGTAATTTTAGACGTGTAGAACTTAATAAGTTCCAACGGTAAACTTACGAATCTAATTATTCGTAAGTTCACTGTTGCAAAAGTTGAAAGACGAGCAGATACGTAACTTTGAACCAGTTAATTGTGAGTGTAATATTGAAAATACATATTCAATACTTTAACAGACTGGGGACGATATTATATACACGTTTAACTTGTAAAATCGGCTTCATTGTCTTTACAAAGAATAGTTTATTATATCCGAACGACTACGGTACCTCGGACAATTATATTTTTGTTATAATAATACTAACTCAGAACTAAAAACTTACAGTCGAGACTACTCGACTGTGTATCTTTAAAGTAACACTCAAAAGTGTTATTTATTCAAAAATATGTAGTCAATGTAAAAAATGCCGCAAGGAAATAGTTTAATAACTAATAATTTTTTTTATTTTTTAAAATGTTTGTCGTTGAAAAAAAAAATAATATGAAAACTTATCCATCTTTCCACTAAATTATTACAAAAAATAGAATTTTCCAAGATATATACACATAAAGAACAACTATAAAGACAATTTAATAAACGAATGCTCAAATAACTTTTTACTATTTTACTATTAAAAATTTTTGTTTGTGTAGGCACTGGGAAGAATTTCCAAATGGAGGACCGCCTCAGTACCAAAGAGCTCCAACTGAATATGAGAGACCCCCTCCTTATTATTATCCCGGTTCTGGGTAAGTAACTGACACTTAATTGTTTCAGAAAGAATACTCGATGAAGTAGGTATACAATTAAATCAGAAAAATTTAATTAAAATTGTTTTTTTATTAATTCATTCTATAAAATATATTTTATTTTAATTTTATTTTTATAAATTCTTAGATTTCTAGTTCGACCACTTTCTGAGGTAAGTTTACTATCAGATAATATTATCTGATAGTATACTTACCTCAGATTATATGGGACTCTAATTTTTTACCATAGGGTCTTTACAAAGGAAGACCATTTTCATTTTTCAATTTTTTTAAATTTCAGCCCACAGTATAATTAAAATAAAACACATTATATTTTAAGACTTTATCAAAATTCGAAATTAATTGTCTTTCAACTAGTACCGGAGTATTACTTACTATATTTCTTCTCAGACCTTTCTTTCAGACGGCACTAACGCTTGTGTTTTAGGCATATTAAATATTATAATTTCGTGCAATTTGAGACAAATGGTATTAACTAAATTACACTTGTTATGAAATGAAAGTGGTATTTCATTTCATAACAAGTATAACATAACATCATTTCAGTACCTATGAAATGAAAGTACGTACGGATATACAATTTCTTGTCGCTCTATACTTCTGACGATAATATACTTATATATAACGATAATATACTCGTCTGTAGTACGCCTATGTATTCAACAGAACATGTTTTTATACCATCAGTCGCAGTATAAAAGATCGAGCAGAAATCCGTTGGGGGCTATTCTTGTTTCTCAGTATGTTGAACGAAAAATAACTATCCATCCACCTACCGGATCAAGTGAGTTGAACGTGTTCCAAAACCCGTCGAACTAGAGAGTTGAACGAAATCTGTAAATCCCCATCCTGGTCGGCGACCGCATCCGTTGAATGTAGTCATTGAGTTCCTTTTCGTATACATTTATTTCGCGTTGAGAAATAAATGTGACTTAATAATCGCACTCAAGTCGCACTGAAAGAAGGATCTGAGACCATATACCTTATACATAAAGTTAACATCTTTGGAAGTTAATTGTTTTTAAATGTTGACGTTAACGCTTATTTATTTTGAAACTAAGAAATGCCATTGACGCTTCTATATGTTCATAGCTATACGCTCATTAATAACGAAGATGATGTGTAGTCTGATTTCAGCGGCTTTAGAAGCTCTTGGAGAAGACGACCAAAGGAACACCCATCAGAATATCAAATTAAGGGAAGACACATTGAAATGTATAAAAGAAAAGAAAAAACTACACATAAAATACCTAAACACCAAAAAACAGGAAGACTTAGACCTATATAGAGCGAAAAACAGAGAGGTAAAGAAAAGAGTAACAAATGAAAAGAACGAACGATGGGAACAAGCATGCACAGAGATAGAACGACATATCGGAGGAACGAGAAATTCAGAGTCATGGCGAATATTAAAAGCACTCCAACGAAATAAGACAGAGAAAACCCAGATCGGCAAAATTAGTGAAAACGAGTGGCAAGAATACTACGTAGAACTACTTACAGAAAACCGTCCCCAATTTCAGGAAGAGAATACAGAACATGCAGGAAATGGGACTTACGACCAGATAGAAATAAGTCTGACAGAAGTCAAGAGAGCAATCAAGACATTGAAGAACAAAAAAGCCAAAGGACCCGGAGGGATACCAAACGAACTAATTAAAAACGGAACGGAAAAGTTATTCCGCATGCTACACAGAATGTCCGAAAGAGGACTAAATGGAGAGGAAATACCTGCGGAATGGACACAAGCATACATCACATTCATACATAAGAAAGGAAACAGGAAAAAATGTGAAAACTACAGAGGAATTACCTAGAGAAGAAAAACCTAGAAACTGAAATAATACGAAAAATTGGAGAAGACCAAGCAGGGTTCACAGTAGGAAAATTATGCCTAGATCATACGTACACATTAGAACAACTGATAGAGAAGAAAGTGGCAAAAGGTAGACCGGTCCATCTGGCGTTTGTTGATCTAAAGAAAGCATACGACTCAATACCTAGAGTCAAATTATGGGAAGCAACGAATGATCTCGGAATCCGACAAACACTAATAAAAGCAGTTAAAGCACTGTACAAAGAAATCAAAGTAGCTATTAAATGTGGAAATAAATCCTACAATCCATTTAAGACGACAAAAGGACTTCTACAAGGCTGTGCTCCTTCCCCTACTCTGTTTAAAATATTCTTGGAAAAGACACTCAAACCATGGAGGAGAAAGTGCGAAGGAATGGCATACCAGTAAGAGATGAATACCTATACACCTTAAGTTTTGCCGACGATCAAGTAGTCATCGCACAAGATGACGAAGATCTCAGCTTTATGCTCAGAAAACTAGAAGAAGAATATAAAAACAACGGAATGGAAATAAACTTAGATAAAACCGAACAGAAAACAAGGATAAGAGAAACCTAGAGATAGACGAGGGAAGACAAGTAAATGGAACAGATAAATTCAAGTATTTAGGAACCATAATATCGAACCAGGGAGCAATTGAAGAAGATATAAACAACAGACTAAGACAAACAAGAAACTGTATAAGACAACTAAATTCAGTGCTGTGGGATAAGAACATTACGATAAAGACAAAAAAGAGAATATATATTACCCTGACAAGAAGTATCCTGACATATGGGTCCGAAAACTGGACAATAAACAAGAGAAATAGAGATAGAATAAGAGCAGTAGAAATGGAGTTCCTGAGGAGAAGCTGTAGACTTACAAAAAGAGACAGAATTGAAAACGCAGAGATTAAGCGGAGAATGGGAGTGCAATCAGACATAATCGACTATATAGAGGAGAAGAGACTATCCTTTTACGGCCACGTCAGAAGAGCGGACAGAGGACGCTGGATAAACAAAATTACCGAATGGAGCCCGACCGGAAGAAGAAAGAGAGGACGACCCCGAAGGTCATTCAGAGACGAAATCGGGGAGGCTATGGAGAAAAGAACCCTGCGAGATGGAGACTGGAATGAGAGGGAAAATTGGAGAAAACGGTTGAGTGAAGGAAGACAGTGAAAACTGTGGAAATCCTTAGTAGTAGTAGTATGATGTGTAGTGCCCTTTTGGTAATCTCTTTGTTTTTTCTATCTGAATATATTCGTTATATACCCCTTTGCTATGTCCTCCTTTGCTATGTCGCATGTTAGGATTCGATCAGTTGTTTATTTTGTACTCACCCTGAGGCCTTCTTTAAGTCAATAAATCAAAATTTATCTTATGGTAAATCTATTTTTATCCGTAGTACCCTATGACATCTCGTGTGTAACTATACGTTCATTAATAATGAAGACATTGTGTAGCTCTTTTGGTAGTCGCCTTGTTTGTTTTTTCTATCTTAATATATTCGTTAATTTAATTTAATTGTATTTACCTTTATTTATTTTTAATTAATTTTATATAATCTTGTTTAGTTTTAATTTTATTTTAATTTGGTAAAACGTTGACGTTTATTAAACGTTATTTTATTTTAATAGTAAGTGTATATTCATCTTACCCAATGACATATAATAAATATATATTATACGTCATTGATTTCAACTTGCAAAATTACAGTAACTTATTTTTAGCAATTTTTCGAATAAATTAATTACTGTGAAGTAGTCAAATTTCTGATTACCACTATTTGAATCATCAATTTGTAGAATGAATTAGCAGTAATTCAACAGTATCGTTCAAAGAACAAAATATGATTAAAATGTTAGATATTTGTAGTTCAGATTTCTTTCTTAGGTGACGTAGTTACTTTACCGGACAAACGGTGTGACTTGTCATCATAGCTTTTATATACAGTGCTGAGTGTCTTACCACCCGGCTTTTTAACGTAAGAGATAGAAAACACAGTTACCTTGTGAAATAAAAAGAGATGAAACTCGTAGAGGTGGGAAATAATCGATAGAAACCTATAATTTACATTACATTATATTACCTCTATCGATGGTCTCACACCTTTAAACGTTAGCTTCTAGCTAAATCACCTCGGTCATAATTATTATGTTTGACGTCGTATGTGTGACGTATTTCCATTTTTTAATTTCGCATAAAGTAAAAACTGACCACAATAAAGCAAAAATGTGAATAAAATAATTTTATTAATAGTAATTATTTAATCTAAATTAATTTTATCTAAATTTTTATTTAAATTTAATATAAAGTTTAAATTATTAACCAAAAATAATTTCTACTACGATTTTAGGAGTTTCATACTCTTGTCAGAGAACTACGAACACAGGTTTCTAACTGTGGTCGTTAGTTATCTGCTCTTGTCACGGAATAATTATAAATCCATCGTGGATTAGTGGTAAGAATTCGACACTGCGGTGCAGACGATTAGAGTTCAAAACCTACATGCGTGTTTTTTTTTAATAATTTGAAATTGTGCAGAGATCGTTTTGCTTTTGAACATTTATGTCAGCCGTTACTAGTATTAAAAGTGTTTAAAGTTAAACATAAATATCTTATTGAAAAAAGTGTCCGTCGTACTTTCGAAAATAAAGTAAAAATTCCTCAAAATTAAAAGAGCGTTTAAAGAATGTTTAAACAAGTAAAAATTCTACAAAAATAAAAAAATATTGTAAATAAACGTATTTATAATTGTCACTTGTTTTGAAAATAATTATCTGTACAGAGGAATTGATATTAACATTGAGAATTTAGTGATGGATTTGATATAAACAGTCTTCACCGGATTATTTTGCATTCACAACTGAAGACTGTATGAATTGAATTTGAAATATTTTGTATTTCCGTTTTATAACATTGGAATAAGAATAAATTGTAAATAATGAGTTATTCGAAAATTTGTTACCTAATATGTATCATATTTTCTATTATTTTTTTATTGATACAAAAATTTTATCCTTGGTGTGAATTAAACCCCAATTTTCTTGTCAATAGACAACGTCCCTAACTACTACACCAATTCCACATAAGTTAATTGTTTTCGAACAGAACACACCTACCTTTATTTTAGTCAAATATTTCAGTTGAGGTATTTTTATTATTAAACAAACTTAAAGATTTATAATTTAAAATCGCTACTAATGAATGCTTTTTACTATAATACTTAATTTATTCAAGTATTTATTCTAACATCAGAAATTATTAAAATAAAATATTTTTGATGTTATCCGTATAATTATGACTGAAGTCAAATAGCCACGTCTAACGTCTAAAGGTGAGACTATCGATGGTGGTAATGCAATGTAATGTAAATTATAGGTTTCTATCGATTATTTCCCACCTCTACGAGTTTCATCTCTTTTATTTCACAAGGTAACTGTGTTTTCTATCTCTTTCGTTAAAAAGCCGGGTGGTAAAGCACTCATCACTGTAGATAGATTGGTGGCTTCTTCATGAGCTTGTATTGAATTTTTTTTTTGTTACAGTGAACATTAAGGATTGTAAGAAGCAGGCAATTTAACAGACTGATTTGAACTGAACCTTTTGCATCACATTTTCAAGAAAAAACGACAGATTGCCATTATTAAGTTTAGTTTTTTTTTCTTTACTTTATCGATGTTTTTAATACGTAAAGCAATAGCGTTGTTGTGTAAAAAATTGACACAAGAAAAGCAAATTATTAGTTAGATGTTTAAGTCTCGATAGATTCATTTCAACTTTCTTTTTCTCAAATATTTTATGAAAAACGGTGAATTTTCTCAGTGGCTAGGGAAATTTTTATGGCAGTGATTGTATTAAAGGTTTTATCCAAAAAATATGCCTCTAAGTAGGTCCTTTTTAGTAATTTTAACTAAATCGAGATATATTGGAGTTATGTTCATACGATTTGAAGAAATTATTTCTACAAAAACTAAATAAAAAAATTTTAACAAAAGACAAAATAATTTGGGCAAATGTTTTAGTATAATCACTTCCATATATAAATTGAGGCTTCATCAACAAATAAAAGTAAACCATAAAATAAAGAATGCTCTCTGGGCTTTCATGTGTTTTAGTGATTTGATTTTAACATCCATAGCGCTATTGAAAAGCTCACAACATTGGAAATTTTTGTGATGTAAAGAAACTTGAATAGCATTGTAATAGCATTGAAAAATGCTAGAAGATTAATCAAATTAGGTTATATTGAATATGGTTATTGTGATATTTTTAGAGTTATAGTATGTTTAATGTTTGGCGCATTACACGAAACAGACACGGAATAACAGATGGCACTAAAATGGTTCGATAGTCACATGGCGTCAAATCACGACTGTTTAAGGTCGTTTACTGATTAGCGAAAAACTGATTTATCTGCTTCAGTGTCTGTTTTGTGTGGTGTTGTTTTTAATAAATATCTATTCTATCTCAAAGTTCACAAGGGAATTCTGCCTGAATAGCCCAACGATTGGTGCTCTAATTCTGGTAGAGTTTTCTTTAGATGATGTCCGTTTGAAAATACCGACATCTAGTCAATGAACAAATGTTTTCTGTGCAATGAACGTTTCATAAATGTTATACGCACTAATAGAAAGTTTTTTTTATTTGAATGTAGTGGTGCTGAGGTAAAGAATGTTTTGAATTTGGTACAAAAAATGGAACTATGTTTACAGTGATTTCAGTAACATGGTTTCAATAAAACTCGTAATGGAAAAACGGTTTCAATTACGGTACAAGTTTTTCTAGTAGATTGTATCCAATGGAATTTATTTTTTATTTTGATGGCCCCAGTAGTCAACATAACTATTGGCAGGTCCATGCTCGTCTTGATTTTTCTAAAGAACATTCTTTGCCATTGATCGCCTGGTAGTTGTAAATACTACATTTCTTTAAGGATTTGTGTTTTTTCGTAAACAATGATATAGTAAATATAGTTAATAGGACTTCAAAATGCTCATTTATTTAATCATTGGATATTTGATGTTTTCCAAACATTATTTTTTAGTGAAGAAAAAGTTAGTCGAAATATTTTCGTAAGAACTGAATTATTAAAAAAAACTCGTTATTAGATTTTGAATTAACAAAAATGTTTTTTTAGAAATTGCGTATTTAAGAGAAATTTACACTTTTAGTGATTTACTAAAAATGTTTTAGAGAGACCGAGCTGATTATTCGATCTAGTTGATGTTTTTGTCTTCAAACAGTGATTTTTTTTTCCTTTTTGAGCGAAGTACACTAAAATAACGATTATATTAAAATCTATTCATTGACTGTACTATTATAAACCATTTAATAGTTCAGTCAATAGATATTTATTTAAGATCATGGTGTACATAACGGTAATTCTAACATTTGATCTCCATAACTGTTTGAGGAGAAAAATATCGAATGGGCACAAACAAAAGTAAGGTATCCATTGATGTATTCCAATTCCAATATCTTATTCCGATTATAGCTGTATAAAGATTTATGTGTTCATTTATATTTGTGCTCAATTTTTATATTATATAAATTGAAGCCAAATTTTGCCATATATTCTTCTGTATTTAAAGGTATTTATGACTCATAGGGTTAAATAATTATAAATTCCAAATGTTTTTAATAAAATTTTAAACAATTCTTTTGGTTTTTTTTATCTGTTATATATAGTTCTTCGAGGATATACTGAAAAACGCTAAACCAAAAATATAAAAGAATAGCTATAAAAATACTGGAGCAGGCATAACCCTAAACACAGACATATAACACTTGAATAAATTAAAAGTGGATTCATGTAAATATATTGTGAACTGGGAAATATATTTGATACAAAATTTGGTTTTTTAAATTAATATGGTACATTCGAATATCGAATAGATATGTTAATATTTCTGTGGTCGCAGGATAAAAGTTCTTAAGTCAGAAATCAGTGTATCGAGATATACGAGGTTGAACTATTTAGACATTTCTCCAGAATCATAACTTTAAAATCGTTACTAAATGTAAGAGTTTAACTGTATATCAGTTTTAGTTTATTGTTTATCTAGGAGTTGTATAGCTAACTAGTTCAATTTTTTTTTAATTCATGAAAAAAATGACTTAAGTAGTTATGTCCCAATGTGTTATATGACTTAAGTTTTTTAGTTCACTGATCTCAATACATGTTTTATGAAAAAATGGCATCTGTAGTCGTTATTTATTGTCTTACATATTAAAAATAAATAACAACAACGTATTATATAGTAAATATTTAATAAAATCATACAAACTAAACATTTTTTGATCACTAAGGAAAAAAATCTTAAAAAATAAATTAATATTACTCATCATCAGAGGTGACGCTATCCTTTGTTCTAGACCCAGAGATTTTTAGGTTTTTATAATAGTCATGGAACACTGGATTTATTAAATGTAAAATGCTGACCAAGTCTGCTTTTTTCTTTTTACTTATAATTAAATACTCAGTATACTGAATTGCAGGCCTTAAATCTGTAATATTTTGTCCTCTTCTTAGAAAAGAATTTTTTTTAAAAGGCTCATCTAATTCTAGAGACCTTTTATATAACAAAGTACACCTATTTTCTTCTTTTAAAAATCGCATCCATTGTATATCATGCCACACAAATTTATTATTCTCGTTATCTTTTGTTTTTAATTGCAGTTCTTTGGCATATAATTACTTAAAATCTAAGAAATCTGGTTGGTCCATATCTACTACAACATATTTCGGTCCCATTGATCGGATTAACTGAGACCAATCACGTGGATGATGAATATCCATGGATGTCTTCTTTTTATTCTTTTCTATATTTGCATGCACTATGTCACACTCCATATGTGAATGTCCACCATAAATTCGTGATCTATAGACTGCAAAGTAGAAGAGTTTTGTAACGCTGAAAAACACATTGCAGCTATATGTGAATTTCTATTTTGACCTGTACATGTGTCAGAATACATGATCAAATCAGTTATATCTGGTGAAAGTTGAGAAATATATCTATATACGCATGAACCAATCTGGTTACCACCTCGTCCTGCGATTGTTTCATTCCAGATAAAATTCCAAGCTACTCCTGTGTCACCTTCATGGACTGTTAAATTATATACAGCCAATTGACGTTTATAAAATATTATAGATGAACGTAGATAAGGAGTTTGTAAGACTTGTTGCAAATCAAAAGTTACCATTTTAATTGAAGGATTTTTTATTGCGTCAGCTTTATCCTTTGATTTTGCTTCAAAATGTTTGTCAGCTGCAGTTTTATGTCTGTTCCATTCAATTACGAGATCTTGTTTTTCTAGTTCATCTTTACATAATTTCACTTTTAGTTTGAATGTATCGCACGTATGGCATGTATCATTATGGGGCACTTTGAAACTTAAATTCATTTCCTTAAAAATATTTCTATACACATTGTAGGATACTGGGTGATCCGTTACTAATTCTTTGTAAAGTAAATACATTACAGAAATATTTAAATGAGATGGAAGATACTTTTTTTCAGTATGTCTTCTGCTGTAATGGCTTTCATATCTTGGGAACGAATTTATATGATTGATGATTTTATCTTTTCTTTCCTGTGTAGTTTTTGTTACTGGTGAATGTCTTCTTCGATTGTAAGTACTTATAGTTGCTCCATCGGAATTTTTCAGTATTTTGTTAAGTTGAACTTTGATGAATCCTTCTGTGATATCAAAAGTTTTCATAAAACATACTTTACATATTTTATGGAATTCTCCATCAATTTTAATATTGTAGGTATATGTCAACTCTCTTTTGCGGTTGTTAGTATCTGAGCGTTGTTGCCTTAAGCTTGGACGTAATCAAGCTAACAATATAGTCTGCTCGACGATCGTGACTTCCTTAAGACCAAAAACCAGAAAACAGCTCTTGTTGTTTAGCCGTCTCAAATCTAATACTACAATTCAATCGACATGGTAATAAATCTTGACAAAATTTACCCGTACTTCTTTACCACTCTCTGTGACATATAGTTGACCAGTATTTCTGCAAATCTTCCTTGTTTCTCTAACAATCCTTGATCGTTTAGAAGGGACTGTTTGAACTATATTTGTGGTTCTCTTTGTTTTTACTTCTGTAGTATTTCCTCCTGTGTCTCCATTTGGGGCACTAGTAGATTGTGGTGTGGTAAGTTCAATTTTCTTCTGTCCTGCAACATTGTTATCTAAATTGTTCATTGAAATGTCTAAATATGATTCGTCTAAATCTGGAATGTAATCTGGGTCCTTGTCTTCATCATCACTATTATGAAAAGGATCCTCAAACTCATTTAAAATTTGCCCTAAAAAAATATGAAACGCTATTAAAAGAAAACACGAAAAAACAAACTGCAGCTAGAAAAATAGTTTTGTTAAACTCTGTTTCCACTTACATTTATCTTTTGAGACACTCTGTATATCATCACCCATGTACTGCTTGATGCTTGACTGTTGCCTGATATACATGTCTGGGTCATATCCTCTGGGTCTTTGTATTCATCATCACTATTATGAAAAGGATCCTCAAACTCATTTACGGTTTGCCCTGAAAAAAATGTGAAGTGGTATTAAAAGAAAACATGAAAAAACAAACTGCAGCTAGTAAAATATGTTTGTTAAACTGAGTTCTACTTACATTTATTTTTTGAGGCACTCTGTATACTATCACCCAATGTACTAGCTGTTGTTTGACTGTTGTCTCATGTGCATGTGGTTGCCTGGTTTTTATCTGATAAATAAAACAAATATGTCAAAATCAAAACCAAATTATATTTATATGAAATCAATACAAATCATAAGTTTACTAGCAACAAATTTAAAATAATGTACGTGTTAAAAACGTTGCAATTTTGTAAACTAATAAAATATAATCATAATCTCACTAGCATTTTAGATAGTAATAATAATTATATTATGTAATACTTACAGCTATGTATATTGTTTAGATAAACCCATTAGGGCTAGTTTCTTTCCTCTTGAAAAACTATCCATTTCGTTATAAACTATTATAGTTTAGATAAAATACAAACTTTTGTAACACAGAACACAGTGATAAACAAGCTTCTAAAACATAAACGGTCAATCACAG